CTAGGATCCAGGCGATTGGGATTCGATTCCCGGTCGGGGCACATGCCCGGGTTGCGGGCTCGATCCCCAGTGGGGGGGTGTGCAGGAGGCAGCCGATCAATGCCTCTCTCATCATTGACGTTTCTATCTCTCTCTCTCCCTCTCCTTTCCTCTCTCTGAAATCAATAAAGATTTTTATTTTTTTTTAAATTCAGGGACAGAACATACTTCCTAAAATTATTTAATGACAGATTCAGGAAACTGATTCATAAAACATTTTGGTATTCTCAAAAGAATGTGCAAACAGAGGCAGGCCGTCTTGAGAATAAAACAGAAAAAGATGAAGGGATAACAAGATGAGGTGAAAATAAATATGATTGAGATAAGAACTGTAAATAAACTCAAAGTATATCATCAATTAAACCAGAGTATAGAGGAGAAACCTAAGAGAAAGGATTTACGAGAAAAATTATGTCTAGACCAGAACCCACTGCAGAGTTAAGCCCTCAAATATTTGTAATACAAATAAATAATCAAGTGCCTTCTCATGAAAAATGAGAACTGGAACTGAAGCAACAGCTTTATATGTGTGTAAAATATATATAACTAAAATATATTAAAAAGACCAAAAAAAAAAAAAAAAGATGTGAGAATTCATGTTGAAGGAATAAATTACATTTTAGGCAAAAATCAATAAGCAATGCCCCACATCTAAAATGTAGTTTAGGATATTTAAATTATCAGATGCAGATAAAACTTCTCTAAGATTCAGGAATAATATATTTTTTAAAAAAGGTTACCTTCAAAGGAATAAACACTAGACTGCTTTAAAATTCTATGCTGCAGTACTAAATGTCAGGCAAAAAGTCTACACAGTTTTGATAAAAAGAGGTTGTGGCCCAAGAATTACTCCCAGGAAAATTATCTCCCATTATGAAGGAAAGATATGCTTATATGAGCAAAAAATATGACTACATACAATTTTCTTAAAGAGTCGTAAAATCTCACTGAACTAAATGAGAGCTTAAGAATGGAGGAGTTGTGGTATAAAATGACAGTGAGCTATTACACCAGACGAACACAGGGTTAGGCATGAAGAGCTGTTGCAAGTCTGGTTAAATAACTAATTGCAAATGTTACAAGTTACTTCTAAAACAGAAGATACATAATTAAAAAATAACAATTTAGAAACAATAATCTGATGGTTTCACAGGTGAATTCTTTCAAATTTTCAATGAACAGATAATTCCCATGCTATTTAAACCTTCTCAGAGCAGATGGAAGAAATGGAAAACTTCCCAGTTAATTTTACAAAGTCTGCATAACTGTCAAATCAAACCTAAGAAAGCCAAAAAGGAAACCTAAATGCTAATCTCACTTGTTATTTTAATCTAAAAATCAAACTAAAATATTAACAATAGAATCCAACAGCGTATTAAAAGAATAATATTCTGTGACCAAATAAAGTTTATTCCAGAAATGAAGGATAATTCAATCTTGTCAAATCAATATACATTAATATAATAAGTCAAAACTTGAGGGAAACTAAAAGATATTTGAAATAACTTTACAGTTACTTCTGATTTCTTTTAACTACAATAAACTGGAAATAAAAGCTACTCCCTTAGCCTAATCAATATATTTGTTTTGGATCAGATTCCACTATCATACTTGATGAGACATTAGATAAATCTTCTTTAGAGTTAGAGACAAGATATGGATATTAGCTGTCACCACTGTTAACTAACATGAAAGTTCTAACCCATGCAATAAAATAAGAAAATTATATAAATAATATCTAAACAGCGGGAGATAAAATAAATTATCTGCAAATCATTTTCCCTATCACCTACAAGATCAACTAAAAAAATAAGCAGAATTATTAGCAAGGAAGGTGTGTGATTACAAGTAGGCATATAAAAACTGATGTTTCCTATACACCAGGAAGGAAAGGATAGAAATGAATGGAAAAGAGAATATAGATGCAACAAAACAATAAATAAAATACCTAAGACCCTTCTTAAACAAAGCGGTTGATTTCTAGATAAGATGGTTCTACCAGTTCATGCTTTGATATACCCCCCCTTCAATAATAGATAAAATGTAAAATAGAATACTAGAAAGCTCTAGCTCATTCAAAAATAAAATGAGCAATATCATAGATCGAAACTGAAGAGAAATACTAAAGAGTAAAACCGAAGCTATGGGCCTGCTGGGCTTTCATCCAGAAGCAAGTGATGACTCCAGAATTCAGCTCCTTAAAGATAAAGGTACTAAAAGTGCTCTGGCCAGGACAGGACAGGAGCCAGGCTCACTGCTTGAAGGCAAGAGACAACAGAGTAGTATCTGAAAAAGCCTCAGGGAAAATGATTGTCAACACTGGATTATAACCAGCTAAACTATTATTCAAGAGTGAGGGCAGGACATCTGTAACACTTGCAACAATAAAAATAAATTAAAAAAAAAAAAAGAATCACCATAAAAAAAAAAAATTTAAATAAAGAGTAAGGGCAAAATAGAACGTTTCAGACCTACCCCAAAATTTTAAATTATGTTTAACAGTCCCACAACAAAAGAACTACAAATAATCTGATTCAACAAAAAGAAAAGCAAATGCAGAGGCAAGACATGGAATTTTACAGCTTGACAGATTTTAGAGGGAAGGAGGTGGGGGGGGAGGAAAGAGATTAACCAAAGAACTATATACATATACACATAGCTCAAGGACACAGACGATAGTGTGGTAAAGGCCTGGGGTG